ACATCAGAGGAACCCCAGGGCTGGGGAGTCACGCTGTGCTCTTGATCTCCAGAAAAGCTTGAGATAGGAGGGGTATGTACTCATCCCCATGTTCTTCTTGCCTTTGGAAGGTTTTCCAGGACACAAAGCAGATGGGTTTAGGAGTCTAAACCACAAGAGGCCCTTGAGCACTGCTTTAGTTATGAGCAGGTTACTATCAGGAACTTTCAAGTCCTACTTGATCCTGAAGGCAGACTTTGCTTGGTTTCTCACTGTGGTCAGAAATTTTGCTGCCAAGGACTACTCTGTTTACAAGTCTTAAGTACCTCAAAAATCCTACAAGGAATAGCAAGAGAATGCAAAGAGGAAGACCTTACTAACCTTGTCACTGACATTTGTAGGACATCCACCACATTTCTCCTCTCCTCTCTGCGGTAGAGGTTAAATCAATCTCCATTCCTATGCACCTTCCTGTTCATATATAAAGGAAGAAAAAAAAAAAAAAGAGCATATCACTAATGCAGCTAATTCTCAGTATCTTGAAGCAATTGACACAAGTACATGAATTAACTCATCACTTTATATCACTCGAGGCAAATGCGCTATTTGGAGTACCTCTTGGTAAGACTGAGCAATTTAAGATCCATTAGTATTTGGAATATTCTGCTTCATTAAAACCACAGTCATCCCTAAATGTAAATGAGTGGAGAGAAAGAGCTATCAACCTCTTGGTTGTGGTAGACGAACTTAAACTCTCTATATTAACTCTCTATATTGCAAAGTACCGTAAAAAGGTTTTAATATAAATACAAAAGAGGCCTTAGGTTTCCCCAAAAGGGGATTTCCTATCCTGGCTTCAAGTTTCTCATATCCTTATTAAGTTTGAACTACAGCGTAGATTGAATGGCGGAAAGCAATTCTGGTAGACAACACTGAAGTTTTTATTATCACGTTGGGATAGCTTTGCAAGACACTGAGTCTGTTGTATTCTGCTACTTACATCCCCATATCCTTTCTCCTTGATAATAGCGGCAGTGTCTAATTTTGTGGGAGAGCTGGAATTATTATTTTTAATAATAATAATACATACTCTGTTTTCATTCAAAATTTCCAAATGATTTTTGATTCCAGGGCCCCTTACCTGGAGCTTGACCTGAAGAACTTTTAAGACCAAGCCAGATTTTCTTTCATTTATGATAATTCTATCCTTATAAGGCATTATAAATCAAAGATAAACCCAGGACTTTCAAATTTCAATCAGACTAGTGGTACATCTGCAGCTCACTAAACAAAATCTATTATTACAAGGAGTTGTTCAACACTTATGGCAAAAGAACAAGGAAAAAATTCTGAGATACTTCTAGAAAAATGTTCTTTTTCTTCTTAGCTCAGTTACATTCAAGACTCAAGAAGTTCCTCAACTTTACAAAGCTATTTTTGTCTAAGCAGTAAAGGTAGGGATGTTACAGAAGTCACAGAGATTTCTGGAAAAAAATGAAGTTCTTTCAGAGTAGCACCTAATTTAGTCTTAAGTCTTTTCCAAAAGTTGAAACACACTTTCAGGGCACCAGACCTTACAAATCAAACAAGACTGGAATGTCTGCAGGTAATGGCTGCAAACTGAAGGAGAGCCAGGTGCTGTTTCACGGTGGAAGAATGAACATTTGATCCCTGCTCACACAGTGCAGCCTGCCTTCCCTCTTCACCAAAGGGGCCAGTCCAACTTTCCCCAAGGATGCTGATCTAAGGCGAAAATGCCCCCATCAGAGCAGTGGCTACAGATACATGTCCCTGCTGACACTACAGCTGGAAGGGACGTGCTGGGTGACTGCAGCCATGCAGTGTTCTGCCATTGGAAGAGAACCAGCTTCCTGACACAATTTGGGCACCTGTTTTAAGGACAGCTTGTGTCCAGCACACAGTGCTGAACTCACTGTTGCATTGGATGGTAGGCTTGTAGGCAGTTACATCAAAATCAAGAAGTATCCTGAGCATGCATCTTCAGAGCACAAAATGCATGTCAAGGCTACTGCACGGCCCCTGTACGTCTTAGACCAGAGTTACATTAACTCTGAGAAATTCAAAAATAGTTTCCATGAGCAAACAAAGGCATTGGACTCCTGTGCATCAGGATTAGTGTTTTGCAGCTGCAGGGAAGATACTTTATAATTAAGTCTGCACCCTCCAGCAGATCTCAGTTGGAAGTACCAGCAGTCTTTGGCAAAAACTGGTTTGAAATCAGCCCAGCTTCCGGCTGAATAGCTGTGCTGGTGAGGAAGAAAAGCCCGTGTGTTTCTATGGCTCCCACACAGCAAAAGCTTGCTTAGAATATCTGAAAATGTAGACCCAGTACATCTTTATTTGCTTGCTTTTCATTTCTTGGCAAGACTTATGATTCTTTTAAAAAAGAGCTTACTTACAAGAATGGTTGCAAAATTAACAATTAATTTTCTGTTCAAATGGATATGATGGACACAGTGCAAAATGGCCCACAAATAATGGTGTGGAACTGAGGGTAAATCTGAAATTCCTATGCTTTTTGCTTTTCTTGCTTACTGATAGGCTCATAGATGCAATGCTGGGGTGGAACTGCATGAGAAAAAAGAAGACTTGGGCTGGGCGGATTATAAGAACGATGTTGCAAAGGCCGTTGGCCTAAAGTTTGAGGCCAGCTATGGAGGATCCCACACCTGACTCAGAATGGAGATTGATCATCATGTGTCTTCATCCTTTTTCTCGTTGTCTAGTTGTTCAGGGAAGAATTGCAGAGTCCTTTAATGCTGAGTGGGTTTAAGGGCAGCTAGCTGATTATTGTCCTGAAGGTACGTAGTGCCTCACATCAGGAGGCTGCAGGTGGCTCCTGGCCAGAAGGGTGACAAGCGACACTGGAGCAGTGCTCCAGGGCCACCAGTTTTAGTAGCACAAGCAGACAAGTTACCTGTCCTTACTAAAGGGTGATAAGGTGGCATGGCACCTGGCACCAGACTCTTCTCACCTCCCACCATGTTTGGTGTTAGGCACAATGTCATGGCAAATTCAAAATAAAAAGTCCTAACCCACTGTGTGAAAAACTTCCTCCTAACATCTAACCTGAACCTCCCCTGTCTCAGTTTAAGATTTCTTCACACTGTTCTGTTCTACGTTCTTGGCAACTCTGAGAGCAAGAAAGGTTTCGAAGTGACTGAAAACAGTGCACACTTACAGCGAAGGACGACTCCTGCAGGATTTTGCCTATGTCCCCAGAGTGTCTGTGCCCCAGCCCATGGGCCAGCAGAGCCCTGCAGTGACAGTGCTGCTGCCCAGGCCCAGGAGGGGCATGCTGCTATCGCAGATGGCCCTTGCTTGCTGCATGCAGCCAATGGACATGCACCACTGAATGGTAGGCTGCCTGGCTGCAGGCTGGCAGGGCAATGGGGCTGGGTACTGCCATGCATCTGAATGGTGCTCCCAAGGACCTCAACAACAGGCTTCAGAGGTAGGCCAGCTATTCACTGCTGTGAGCAGGTACAGCTGTATGTGCATGCTGCTTTTTCTATTCTTATCAGTCTCTTTCATGAGCAGGTGCTGTTGTTGTTGCTTTTCACACTGCTTGCGTAAATCATCTTTTATTTTTCTATATATTTTTTTTCACCTAATGCAAGGATTGGGCGCTTAATTGCTATCATTTTGGACAGACTTTCTCCTTTGCTTATCTGTGACTTTTCCAGCAACATGGTAGCAAGGAAGTCTCTAGCCACTTGGCAGTACTAGTCACAATGCTCTCCTCTGTTTCCTCATAGCAGAAAGCTGTCTGTGCTGTCACTGGAAGAGACCATATGCTTAGAAATCCTCTGTTGCTTTTGTGCCCCATATAGCATTTCTCTTTCTTCCCTTAGGGAGGAGCAGTCACAAAGAGTCCCCTTACTTTATGTTAAGAAGTGGAAGCATTTACTGCGATAGTAGTGCTGCCCTTCTCAAAAATGCCAAGAGACAAAGAAGTCTGAGCTACTCTAACTATTGAGATTGAAACAGAAGTATAGGAATATCTATCTGTCTTTATTTATTTGTATATACATTTCTCATTCTCATATTATTTTTTTTCCTCTGGTAACCTGATATTCCTTTAAGTCTATTCCTTTGTTGCATTTTGTCTTCACTTCCTGTCAAATTATTTCATCTTATTTAGCTTCACCTGCCAAAATACATGAGCTAATTCTCTCTGTGATGACCTGCCACTGCTTTTCAGTCTCCAGTGACAGGGTGCAGCAACTGCATGCCTGCAAAGCCTGTGCCGTGAAAATCACCTGGGCACCTTTACATTCACATAAGCAGAGAAGACAGGCTCAGACTGAAATGCCTCGACCAGCTTAGCTCTGCTCTCTGGTGCTGCCCAACAGGCAGCCTCTGCTCATGAGCACGGCCCTTTCACAGCTTTCAACCCTGGGCTGCAGGATGATGAGTGGGTCTGAGCTAGCGGACAACACCATTTATTTGAATTCATCCTCACTAATTGTAAAGCGCTCAGTCTCCAGGGAAAGTTACGTAGTGTTACTCCCTGAAAAAAAATCCATAATTTTTTGTATAATGAGCGTTCTGAAATCATTTCTTACTCTATGAATTGACTGCATACTACCTGAATACTACCTGAATAAAGGCAGCAGCAAAGGAGTGAACTCCTTATAATATTATGGTGCTTATTTGTGTTGCTGTGATTCTGGATGTTACCCTTTATCTGACTTTTAACTCTGCATGCAGAGCTATGATAGCCCTGTGCCACCCTGCAGCACAGAAGATCCTTGCTTGGTCAGCCACATGGTTGTCCAGCAAGTCCTCACTTGTGCCTGTGATATCCTTTTAGACCTCATGGGTAAACAGATACCTCTTTCATCTCCCCAGCAGAAGTGAGTGAGTGAGAATTGGTGTTACACAAGACTTTGTGTTGATGCTGTTCAAAGTGGTGAGTTTTATCCTTAATGTTATACTGAGGGAACACATGTGGTGACCAGTGATTGATTATCTTCACAAAGCTCATTTTCACTCAGCAGTGGTGAGTTTCAGAAGGGTGATAATAATGGATATCACTGGCTAAGTTCTCTCTCACACGTTGTCCACTGTCCTGTGGAAATCAAAAAGTGATTAATTCCTCTAACAGCTCTTAGGGTACTTGGAAAACATCAACATCAAGTGGTAGGTACTGCAAATTTCCGTATGGGAATAAAAGTCCATGATAGATCCCCTTTAACAGCAACAGCTGAGGAAAACACATACTGGAAAAATCCCTGTAGGGAAATGAGCTTACTAATGAAAACAAAACCCTCAGCAGAGATCCGGGATATCCACAGACCAGAGATGAACAAGGAAGGCACATCTAACCTGTGAGCTAGAGCTTGCGTGCTTGAAGAAACAGAACTGAAGCTAGAGGCTTTGGAGGGATGCTTGACTGACCTTGCAGATGCAGGCTATACAGCTTGAATAAGGAAAAAATAGATGGCTTGTGTTATCTTTCAGATTGAGGAAATAGTCCTCTTTGGGAGAGTTTAGCCAAGACGCTTCCAAGCATGCACTTTTCTTTAAAAGGAGACAAACATAGGGATTTCCAGGGAGCTGCAGAATGGTGAAGGTAATACCTGAGGATGGTTTGCCAGTGCCAGTTTGTCAGAAAGGCATCAGGACACCTTTCCCTAGGGCAAAATGTCCACTAGAGGAGAAGGATGCAGGGGCAGATGCAGGCGCACCCTCCCATCTAAGGGGGACAAATGAGCATCTTGCTCCTACTCCTAAGTGGCACCGACTGCAGAGGCAACAGTGTGGGGTTAGGGCATGGTTACAGCTCATCTTCTCCTGCTTCCACATAAGAATAGGCAGCTGCTCAACCCCCTGCCCCTGACACACGCCTAAGCCGTCACAGTGTGCACGGTGTCGGTAGGAAATTGGAGTAATGAGGCTCAATGAAGCAGCTCCCCATACAGCCATGGATGAACTTGCCCCAGCAAGAGTACCCAGATCCACTGGCTCACTGGGGTGGTCGTGTGATGTGCAGATGGTTCAAAGCCATTTGTAGGGAGCTGAAGATTCCTCCCTGTGGGACACACTTGCCCTTTTGAGCACCAAAAACACAGGGTGTAGCCAGGGGAGCCACAAAGACAAAGGATTTTAACATCATCCCTTTTGTTTTCATACAAGCCTGTTTAACGAGAAGCAAGAATAAGCAAGAGGAGGAAAAGCCAACACCTCTTAAAACATTAGAAAGGCTTTGGCTGATGTGGCTCACTTCTACTATAAAATTTGGGTTTCATTTAGCTTTGCTTTCATCAGTGTGTATGCAGGACAACACTCACCTTCACTTTGGGGGCGAGCATAGCACTGTGTCTTCTCCTTCTGAAGCAAGTCTTTGGTGCTGAAGGTAAACGTGGTGGCTGGGATCTTTGCAGCCTTTTCCCAGGGGTATATACAGAAATATATCTGAAAAGATAAACCATTTGTTCCTATTAGGAGTACTTAGGGAGGGGAAAAAAAAAATAATAAAAAAAAAAATCAGTCTTGTTTAAGTCTAGCATCATTATTTTTTTCCTTTCTTTTTGCCAGGGATTTTTTTCTCCAGCTGCGTTCACATAAACTGTGCTCCCAAACTTCCAGCCATGATGGAAATAAGAAGAGGGCCTCTGATCTCTCTGAAGTTAGGCCACTGAAGCTTCACTTACTTCAGGGAAGTGATGCTGCTTACAGTAGACTTCACATTTTTTGCAGTGACATGCAAGTCACTTAGTTGAATTTTGTTATAACGGCATATAAAGTTTGCAGAACTGTACATGCAGAACCACAGAACTGTTTGAGTTGGAAGAGAACCTTAGAAGTCATCTAGTCCAACTCCCCCGCAACAAACAAGGACATCTGCAGCTCGATCAGGTTGCTCAGAGCCTGGTCCTATATATGTATGCATATATCTTAAGCTTGTAGTCATAATTAGAGAAGCAGTACTGCTCATTGCAGACCCCCAATCTCAGTTGGACAGCTGTGTAGCAGAGTGACCATGGTAGACAGCAGTGAGGCACTTTGGACATGGGTTTGGACAGGGAGGGGGCTGAGGTGGCACCCTTACGAAGGGGCATTCAAAGCAGGAAATGACAAGTCTAATTAATTCCAGGCTCCCAGGTATTCTGAGAAAGGTTATTGACTGACAGAGAGACAATGTTTGCATAATTACCCAAACATGTAGCCTTTGAATAATAATAACATCGTTATTCTCTGAGATACATTTTATTTTCAGGAATGACCTGATAACAGCAGAAACAAAATACTCAATTTCACAGTTACATCGAAACAAAAATAATTACAGAACACATACAGAAATTAAAATCTATTACAGGCAATTTGTGCTAGAAACTAAACATCCCCTGAAGCTTGACAATCTCAATCATTTCAGTTTGGTTTGGCTATGGTTGGCTATCTTCTCTGCATCACTAGTTAGGCCTGAGACCTATTCTCTCATGCTAGAGAGCTATAGGTCCTAGACCAGACAAGTCACTGCTAAGCCATGTTAAGCTGCTAGAAGGAAGGATCCTCTTCAGAGGCTCTGACATTATTTTTCATACACTACTGAGATCAGTAGAACTTTTGCCAGCAGTCCTGAAAGCATGGAACATACCTCAGTCTGTCCTTTTCTGTACTCCTAACAACCCTATTGGGTTCACCAGCTGAGTTTCTGAAAGCACAAGAGATCATTTGTTCCGATAACATAAATGTGAAGGTAGAACTGGGTACCAGCATGTTGTATCTGAACCCCTTCCTTCACTGGGCAGTGGGAGCACTGGGACAGTGCTATCAGGTGCTGACTGAGTGGCAGCGAGTGGCACCAAGCTGCCCATCAGCCAGCTGGGAAGGGCCTGACAGTGATGTGGAGTGGAAGGGAGAGAGATAGAGAATGCTTGCCTCAAGTGCTGAGCCATCATGGAAGATAACAACAGTAATTTGTGGCTCTGCATAGTGACCTCCTCTGCTACAAGTAGTTCTCAGTGACACTGAAGTGGCTGCAGTTAATAGGCTTTTACCATTGCCACCTAAGGGAGAATTTGTACATCCTCTCTTCGTATGAACTACTGCAGATGATCCCTCTTCGTTCTCATGGCTGAGGGCTGCTATGCAGGTGCCACATACACCATCAGTGCCATCAGACAGGAGGAAGCTGCAGCAGGGCTGCCCCAGCTGAGGTGAGCCATAAATCTGACTCGGTGGTACTGCTAGTAGGGAACAAGGGGCTGAAGAAAGCAGTTAGCAATAAACCCTAACTTTCTTCTTCTCCTCTGCATTTCCCCCCGCTTCACTTCATAGCTTTGCTGCCAAGGTCTGAGCAGCAAAAAAATAGTGGTACAAGTCTAAAAAGCCATTTTTGGTAATGAATTCTGATACCAAATTCCCAACCCATGCTTTTCCAGGTGGCTTGCTTCTCATCACATGCACCGTAACCTGGAGGTATGCTACAGTTTTTCTTCTGACAGTTTGGCCATTTAAACGAACGGCGTTTTGTACTTTCAAGAATTCAGATCTGCAGTTTCAAAGTGGAATTATGCCAATCACGTAGGCCAGCTGGCTAAGTCCATTGTTAGGAAGTCGTAAATAAGGATGACATGGGGTCACTTAATGGAAAAGCACTGATATTTCATCCAAGGCTTATTGCTGTCCTCTGGTCCAAACTGAAGTGAGCTTATGGTCTCAGCTTGGTTTTAGTGGACAAACCGTCCCTGTCATTTTCCCTGTTCCTACTGTAAAGGATCCATATGCTGCTGAAAGGATACGATGGATTCCAGTCTATGGCCCATACCCAGCAGCTTTCTGACTTCAGTGGCATCCTTTCCACATCTCGAAGGGCACCTTAGAAATCAATTCCACACAGTGCTCAAGGAGGGAACATTCACAAGACTCCTGCCCTTGCACCTACAGATTTTTTGGATTTGACACAAAGTTAAAGAATCGCCATTGCAGGAGCAAGGGTAGGCTGTAAGGCGCTAGGGCTCTGCAGGATGCCCCTGCTGGCTGACTGCTGGGATCCCTGAGCCCGCTCCACCGAGAGCAGTGCCAAAACACCTCAGTTCTTCCCACATGACCTCACGTGAGAGCTCGCCAGGAGCTGCTCCTGGAACCCTTACAAGCAGTTATTAAGCAGCAGCACCTGATCACTGCACATCAATGTACTGCAGGTAACATGGAGTACAGCTGACACAGCTGACAGAGCCCAGGATTCCAGACAGCACACACAAAATAAACTCAACAGGCTGCTGCTAGAAGGAGACAGACTGCGTGGGGACCCACATTCCTACAGGCACAACTTTTCCTTTTGCTGTCCTTATCAAGCGGCTGAAAATATCCGCTAACCCTGAGAAGAAACGCATCATTTTAAAGCAGAGTAGGCCTGTAAGACTTTTTAACACTTGTTCGTTGATTATATTAATGCCAGAATATATTAAAGGAGTGCAATATAAATTTGATTTTGATTGTTTTGTACACACGCCAGTGAAAAGGAACTGATTGGATACAGTTCACAGGCAGTATGTTAATACGCTATTTTCTTATGATGATAGCTTTGCATAATCTTTCTTTTTCCAAGATTTAGAAGAACCTGTTGTTAACCAAAGCACAGGAGAGAGGAAGAATACAATTTACATAAAATCGGCTACCCTACACATTAATTAGTAATGTGGCTGAGCGGAAGGTGTGTTCACTTAGTAGAAAGTACACTTTATAATTTATACACCAGCTGTTTCAGTGCTTTCTAGTCCATTTTCCTCCCTGCCTGCCTCTAATGAAATCGTGTTACTGGAGAATTGACTGGGGTGAATTGAGATTTTAATCCCATTGACGCTTCTCTATGGAAAGGCACGCTGGTGGGAACTTTTAATGGAAGGTCTGTAATCAGAAGACACTTGTATTCAGTCCCCCACTATAATGACTCTCATCAAATGTTAAAGCCCAGGCAGTGTGCAGAAGGCTAGAATTTCAAGGTTTTTGACCAACCCCATTTGAGGCATTCCTCTGGGAGTGTGTGATTACTCAAGTTTAGCAGTTTATTGCCTCATCTTTCAATATCCAGTGAAGCACAAAATTCTCATCTAGGTTGCTCTTTTTACTTAAAGAACAGGCCAAAATAGACTGCAGAGCTACTAGCACTGTCATTGAGGTTAATTCTTGCTTCTCAGTTAACAGGAGATCAATGGAAAAGCTTTAAAATATTAGAACACAAATGCTGCTCAGTCTCTAAGTGTTCCACAGCCTTTGTAAAAATGCAAGCTCACACCACGCTTCTCCAATGCACAACTCACATTTATTTATCACTAAGTATTGCTTTAAGGCGAGGACTAACATTAATTGAGAGGTGGTGCTGTTCTGCAAAGAGGGATGTAAACATGTATTAAAATCCAGCAGAGCGAACAGTTTTCCTATTCCCCAAACTTTACAGTCAAGAAAAGTACAGTCATTAAAAGAGAGGTGGTCAAAAAAGCAAGCTGAATTGGGAGTTAATGGGACTCATTATGTCAGCTGCATGTTAGTAATGTCTCCTTCTCCACCAGAAAAACAAGCAGAAATAGACACAGAAAAGCAAAACCCACTTAAACAAATGCCTGTTAAAATCCCTGTGAGGAGAATGCATTTGCTCTGAACAGCCACAAACACATCAATTAATACAGTGGAAGCCACTTAAACAAATACATGTTAAAAAAGTAAACTGGAAAAATGAAGGAACTTCTGACAAAAGATGTCAAATGCTGTTAAAAGGAATAAATTCATTTAAAAGACAACAAATTTTTCAAATGCAGCGAGTCAAAATAGAAGGGATAATAATAGGAAGAATGCCTTTAAAGAATTAATGTTAAATTAAAAAGTCTTTCCCTTTCTTCTCCTTCTCCCTCTTTCCAAAAAAAGGAATAAAGATGAGGCCTTCTTTAATAAGCATTTCTCTGGCAACTTAATGAATACGTTTGAATGACTTTCCCCATTCCCTGTTCCTTTCTTATTGAATTGGTCAGACAAAGGTCTAATTTGGGAGTGTTTTTACTTAAAGGAGTTCTTTATTTCTGACACTTCTTTCGGGCCAGCATGAGTTCAAGATTTTCCCCTCTTCATGCAATTCACTCCCTCTGCTCCTTTTCTTATTTTACTTATTTCAATAAGTGCTAGGATCCACTTGTTATTAGAGGGTACTCTTTCATGGCTTCCAGTCTGAATAGGCACTTCCATTCTCATGCATTTCCCTGCAGAATTCATTGCAATTATTGTATATGCACCATAATTCATGCAGGAATGAGTATAATGCAGCTTTTCACTGAACTATCAGCGTGAATTTTTCATGTCTTATTTAATGGCGATATTTGTGTATATATTTTTCTCTGTGCCCTAGCAACTTTCAGGAGGTCTTCCTGAGCCTTCCCCAACACAGCGGTGGTGG